GACTTTAGTCTTTGCAACTTTACAGATCTTCTTTATGCACCAAGAGCTTGTAACACTCCAACGAGAAAGGAAAAATTTTAATCGCATCATATGACCCCTTTAAAACACTTGAAGGACAGACAGAATGAGACGTTAACTTAACATAAGAAAATCTGAGATTTTAATTAATAAAATTGGCCACGTTATTTTTATTGTATGGTTGACACACGTTAGTGTTAAGCAATACTGAATAATGCATGAAGGGTCACTCCGGTCTGCATGGAAAACTTTATATGATATCAAAGATTTTTATGCATATGTATTATGCATGAACACATATTAATAAGGGAGAAAATTATATGAGACCTCAGAAAAAGAAATTAGAGTTAATAAATAATAATTAATTAACTATTTAAATATAAACATGTATTTAAACGCGCTAGAGAGCATCTAACATCTGGCAAGAAAGTAAAACAAACAGAAAGCTGACGGGTTATAATGCAGAAATCCTGCCTCCAACTATACCAAGACCCAGTTATTCGAGACAACTTCTATATTTAGCGGAGAAGCCGCGGACCAAGATGTAACAAGCAAGGAAATACCAAGAACCTCGAAATTAACGGTAGTAACGAACGTGAACAGATTTACAGTTGTTTAATATATATAATAAGGAGAAAAAAACGACATTTTATCAGAAACTAATGGATAGGCTAACCAACTAACGTTAGCTCAAGTTGTTATTGTTTTTCATCACGATTTCTTTTACAATGTAACAGCAGGGAATCCATTTATTAGTCGTCTCTATTGTTATAAAATGTGCGGCAATGTCGATACATTACATGGCATCGTAACGTTTGAAACACAGCAGATAAATATGATATTTTTCTAGCTGACCAGCAGCTCTTCGCGTCGACGGCCATTTTGAGATCTTCTAATCTTCAACGGGCCATTTCTCAAATGCTCGTTCGTGGGTAATTCGGCTGAGAGCGGGGCAAATAGTGACAGACAGTAAAAAAAAATGTTTTGTAATCACCGTCTTAGCAGCCAGTCCTGTCCGTTTATCCCAAAGAAAATCCGTGTTTACGCTTCGCCTCCAATTTTCTTTCTCGGGCCCAATTAAACAGTGAAGAAAAACAACTTCCGGTCCCTCCTCCAACATTCTTTATACGCGCGCGTGCCATTTGCACATCCGACGTAAACAACGCAATATTTATTCCGTGATGATCCGCAAAAATGTGCAGTTACCAAATAACAGTTACTACAATAACCACAATGTCTTCACAAAAAGAAAACAAAGTGGAAAAAAGAAAGAAATCTTATATTTGAAAGGGATTCGTTTATTTTGATTTTACAGTAGTAATAATTGTAGTTATTTTATGTTTGATACTACAGTGAGACTAACACAGTAGACAATTGTATATATTACACATATCATTTTTACACACAAAAGAGAAAAATGTATTCCCCCTCCCCCAAAGTGATTATTTTAATATTGTTCATACTTCGCTTTTTTTTTACCTGCATATTTGACTTAAAATAAATTACATACAAGACAAACATTACACAAAAAGTCGTTTTTGATATTTGCAAATTTTATTTACAAAAAGTCATTTTTGATATTTGCAAATTTTATTTACATCAAGTAAGTGGCTATTAACAATACTCGTAGAGGTTAAAAACAATAAAAACAGACAAAACAATAAAAGCAACAACACAAACTTGAATATATTTTATTATTCTTTTCATATTCAAAGGGTCATGATTGGAATGCTCTTCCAGAACAGTGTCACAACTATGTTTCTGATGGCTTGGTGAAATTGTTTACAATGATAACACCTCTATTAAAGTTGTAGTGTTTTTTGTTGAAAGCAGTATATCAGAGCAGCCTTCCTGTGCACTGCAGAGAGCCACAGCAGCAGAGCAGAACCTTCCCCTCCACACTGCCAACCTCATAGTTATAATCCCACATCACCTCTGTACCCGCCTTGATGCGCCTGGTAAAGAGAGATCAAAGGAAAAACAGAGTAAGACAACTTTCTGGTCTGGATATAACATTTAAAAATATAAATAAATAAATAAAGGCCGCATGTGTTTTATAAAAACAATATTAAAAATAGCAAGAGTTTCCACATAAAACTTAGGTCAACCACTCATTTTTAAGTAAAACTTCAGTTTCTGTAATAGAAAATCGAGCTGGTATTAATCAAGGCACTGACTTGCTGGCAAAGAACGCCACCCATGGAAACCGTAGGTCATGTGTGTCGACAAAGACGTTCTGAACAAACAAATTCGGACTGCAGCTATGCTGTAGAGAGATGCAGAATTAAGAGTAAAACAAAATATTTACAAACTTTTCTTCAAACTTTTTTTCGTCCACAATCACGAAAGGCTAAGTTTAGCTTACGTTGATGAAGCGGCCGAGGTTGCCCTCTTGTCTGGCATCAATGATGTAACAGGTCTCCTCGCCGTTGAACAGTCTGCGGGTGTTGTTGCCAGTTAGAGCGGTCCTCGTTTTCTCATTCTTTGCATCCGTGGTTACTAGTGGTTTTACTCTTCTCTGGAATGACTTTCTGGCAAAGCAACGCTTTGGACCTGAGGTTTCTTGACCTGTAGACACAAATTATAGACTTAGCAAATTCAATAAAACACTAAAAGTATAAAATGAGGAACAGAAATGGAGAATAGAGAGAATGGAAACTGACCGTCCTCTCTCATTTGTTTGGTCACTTTCTTCTGAGCATCTTTAGATGTTTCATGTGGCTTATGGGATAGTTTTCTCACTGAACAGGTAAAGAGGACAGGTAAAAAAAAAAAACATCAAGTAAGTTTGCTACACAGTGTTCCCGAAACATTAATTTTGTCTTATTAGTTACTAATAATTATGTACTTTTCCCATCACCAGCAAAGAATGATTTAAAAAGATTAAAAACATGTTTAACTGAAATAAAATTAAATAAAAAATATTAGATGAAAACATAACTAAATGAAATTTAGAAATGGTGCCTTGGCAACTAACTGAAATAAATACTAAAATAAGTTCAAGCACTAAATTACTAAATGGTAAACTGGAAATAATCAAAAACTAAAACCTAAAACTGAAATAAAAATGAAACCAAAGTAGTAATATTTACAAAAAAAACTAAAACTAATAAAAAAGACAAAAACTGGAAATATATAAATTCAAATATACTAATTCAAAACTAGGCCTGTCACAATAACAACTTTGTTGTGCGATATATTGCCCCAGAAATAATTGCGATAAACAATATCATTGTCATTTTAAGACCATTTTATGCCACTGAATATATAATCATAAAATAAAAGCATAATAATGCAAGAAGGCCAACACACTTCCAAATGACAACAAACTTTTAGATCATGGAAATTAAGTATCAAAATATTAGATACCTTAAAAAACTTGAATAAATAGTAAATAAAAATGTTCTAACAAAAAGTGCAAAGCAACAATTACAAAAAAAAGAAAGAAAAATGCACAAAGAACTTGTCTGGAGATTTTTCCCTGACCTTCTGTTCTCTGTAAATTAAGGGTGCACACTATTGCTGAAAAACACAATCACTACTTAGCAGTAAGATGTCCGTATGCACAAAGGCACAGGTCCCTAAACAAGGCCATATCTGCAGATGCAACTTTTTTTGTAAAAGCATTTTTTAAATTTGAACTAGCGCCTCATGACTACACCACGTTATGTACGAGAAGCTGCAAAAGACACAGGCGGAAGTGGAGTGTAAAAAACATGATGACATTAATTTTTATGTGAATATAATGGGCGATATATTGCGTCACCAAAAATTATTGAGGTCATGTACATATATTGTGCGATAAGTCGATATATTGATTATTGCGACAGGCCTATTCAAAACATTAATAAAAACAATAATAGTATAGAAAAAAAATACTAATAACACTGCATCTCACCTTCCACTTCTTGTTCTGTGTCCAGCTCCATAGGTTCTTCTCTTTCTATGGAAAAAGCAACATAAAAGATTTCACAGTTGCACACAGAAGTGAAAAGACATGCAATTGTTTGGCTAATATGTGCAAATGCTCATAAGGCTGAATATTTACACACACCACACCTTCACTACTGCTAGAGTCTTCTTGGTAGAGAGTGTTTTTCCGTAACGGCCCTGTTTTCATGGTTATGGTCTTCTTGTTGCTTTCGACCTCTGTGTCCGAGCAGTACGCCGCGCTCTCATAACCCTCTTTCGGTTTCTCCACACCCTCAATGAAGTCAAGGTTGGCCAAATAGTCATTGCCGGACACTGTGTCATCCTCATTCATTCGGTCTTCGTTTATTATTTTACCTGTGAGGTGATAGACGGAGGTGATGGGAGGAATTTTGTTGTGTTTAAAGAACTAAAATTTATGTTCACTTACCAGTGAAAACACACACAAATGTGCCCTTGGCTACATCATCTTTGCAGCGGATGCCCCATCCCTTGTGCTGTGTCATGAAGAGCTCCAGCCGCAGCTGCAGACCATGCTGAACCAGCCTGTTGCTGCATGTTCTCGGATCACAACGGCACAGAGGGTTACACTCATACACCCTACAGGGATGGAAGTGGAAGTGTAATGTAATTTTTGTGGTTAGAAATGTTATACACTACCGTTTAAAAGTTTGGGCTCAGTGAGTTTTCTTTTCTTTTTTGAAAAAGAATGATACTTTTATTCAGCAAGGTAAAGACTTCAATTGTTACAACTAAATGTTGTACTTTTGAACTTACCATCCATCAAAGAGTCCTGAAAAAATGTATCATGGTTTCCACAAAATATTAAGCAGCACAACTGTTTCCAAGATTGATAATAATCAGAAATGTTTCTTGAGCAGCAAGTCAGCATATTAGAATGATTTCTGAAGGATCATGTGACACTGAAGACTGGAGTAATGAAGCTGAAAATTCAGCTTTGCTATCACAGGAATAAAATACATTTTAAGATATATTAAAATAAATGCAGTCTTGGTGAGCATAAGAGACTTTTAAAACATTTTAACCACAAACTTTTGAACAGCAGTGCTATCAAAATTATGTACTGATCTGAGAACAGATCATAATAACAATATTTTTGACAATAAAATGTAGTAACAATGTGTTACA